CCAAATGGGTGCCCTAAGCAGATTTGTATTGTTGTGCCCCCCTCCCCCAAATATTATGGATGACAAAAAAAAAAAAAAAACTACTATAGGGGTCAAAACAGAACTTTAATAAAATATAAAAGTAAATAAATAAATAAATAAATTATTAAGTAATTATATTGTATTATTTACAAATTACAATTGTAGCACCTATGGCTATGATTTTATTAATACAGTTGTCTGATTGATTTTAGTCTCAAGCATTTAGAAATCACGCAAAAGAAAACTAAGCAGTTTTACTACGATAAAACCATGGTTAATTTTTTGTAAGGGTTGTGATGTCCACATGTTTTTGTTGAAGAAATTATTGAGGCTGCCGCATTTCTTTTGCAAAATGGTGGCCAAAAATTAAACATTAAGTGGATATTTGAATTAAATGTTTGGTCAATATTAAAGGACTTGATCGTCCTTGTAAGTGCACCAGCAGCAGTTACCAGGTCTTTGGCTCCCTTGGCCAAAGGCAAAAACTGTTTACTTTGTATTACATTTTGTATTTTAACAGTGTTATTCAATGAAACCACTTAATTAATAATTAACCAATCATTATTGCCCCATTGTTTTATATAATGCATTTTAAGTCATTTTAAAGGCTGTTGTTGGCTTAGGTCTGATTTTATAACTACAAAAAATATTATCGTTATACTTCTTTGTAAACTATTACACTGAAAAAAATGATACAAATTTTTTAAGGTAAATGGTTGCAAACTATTTATTTTAGCTACATTTAATAAAAAAAAATATGTTGAAAGTTAGTCAACTAAATTTGTTTATTTATATGTAACTAAAATAAATTGATTGCAACCACTTACCTTAAAAAAGTTAGTAAATTCAATGAATAATTTTTTCAGTGTATTTGAATTAACAAAACCATGGTTAATTTGTGGTTACCATCCATGGCTACAAGAACCATGATTTTTGGTTTTATTCGTAAAACCATGGCTAATTTTTGAAAGGGAACATGAAAAGTCAGAGAGAATATTAGATGCGTTGTTGGTGGCTAAATTATCACCGACACCGACATTAAACACGTTATTAACGTCAACATCCAAAAAGGTTTCACAGGATTATGAATGTAGGCTACCTGAAAGTGATGCACGGGCTTCATCTTTTTTTCTTTTTCTTTTCTCGGCGCCAGATCGCTGATGTCTTTTCACGGCATAGTTGTCCATCAATTATGATCATTTGCATTCAGCCACAAACATGAGGTGGAGCGTTTTTTTGTTTTTTTTAATGAGGTGCGAGCGGTCGCGGGCGCTGATGCGGGAATGGCGCGTCACGTGTACTTAGCCTAAAATGCATTTTTTATAATTATATATATATATATATATATATATATATATATATTA